AGTCAATATAAGTTTCCCTGATACTTCTAGAGCTTAAAATAGAAGTTCTTTCATATGTAAAGCTATATTAAGTATATGTTTAGTATTTACTTTTTAAAAATATGTTTTTGGAATGCTAACGGCCTTACCTAACATAAGATTGAAGTTTAGCTAATTCTGATAGTTTTTATAACGCTAAAGATATAGGTTCTCGTTCGTATAACTCCTAGATGAACCTAATTTATGTAATTGACTTTCTGTAATCAATAGCATCAACGAGAATTTACATACATATATCAGTGATAAATTCACTGGAACGCTCGCCTAAGCTATAGAAGTTAATAGAAGTTCCACACAAATTTTTTCATAGTAACAAAAGCACGAATTTGTTAAAATACAAATTGTATGTTAACACACACTTCTGGACAGTATCTGACATTCAAAATGTTCTAATTAATGAATCGCAATTCCTGAGATTAAGAATCATACTCCACTACATAAAGTCTAATGGCAGGAAAATCACCTGTTATAGATAAAAGATGCTACTTTTCCAAACTCCAAACATTTGCTCCTTGAACAGCTTTTATTATATCTTCACAATTAATAATTGAACATATATTGATATGGTTTTAGAAGGAGTTTAGAAAGTAAACCTAAATATGTCCATGAACCGTTGCTATTTCTACGACAGATATTTCCCACATTTTAAGTTTAACGTATACCCAATTAAATTAAACTCCTTACACCTTCACAAGGAATGGAAGCGATCTCACTATTTTGGCTACCGCCCACGCTTTGATGAGTAATGCAATCTTTACACTGCCTAATATTAAGGTATAACATGCGAAGTCTTCAGCAACACTTGACGAATGAGTTAAACCCTAATCTTGAGCTAGTAGTCAATAAGTACTAAATTCCAACTGTAATTCATCCAGAAATTTTTGAGATTAAACGTTTAGCTCCTCAGTTCATGACAAAACAATCACACTCAGATTGCTAAAGGGTTTCTCAAAACACCAGTCGGCAGCTGCTTGGGGTATGTATAAAAAAAACTTGCTGATCAGTGTTCAATTACCCTGCATCAGTGTTTTCACCTCCGCTTCGTGATAATTTTAAGGTCACACTGTTAGAAGAACTTACAACAATATGTAAAAAAAGAAAGAACTTATTTGAAATCATTCAAATGTTTATTGTATTGGAAAGTTTAAGGTTTGGCAATTACTAAATACAAATGATATCGGACAAATGTCCATCACTATATCGATTCTGAACAAAATTTCCCTTTACAAGATTAGAATCATAGTATTTAATATATTCTTTGGTATTTAACTTTACTTGCTGATTTTTCAATGGAAGTCTTTGGTTTTCTTCGAAACTTTTTTTTTGACTTATTAATATCTGCTAGACCTTTTTTCTTCCCAGTCCAGGTTCTCTTTCAATGTTCAAGTCTTCTTTATACTGTTTAATGGTTTTGGAAATAGTGTGACGAGAAACTTTGAGATCTTTTGCGATTTTTATGAAATGTTTTAATTTATTTTTCGCGCACTTTTAAGCATTTGGTTAATTTGGAAGATGTTCGGTATGGTCGAACAATATAAACGAATAACTATCAAATGCATTTCTTTGAATTACAATCTTTATAAGTTTAACAGTTGTGGCATTTCGCATACTAATCGGACTAAATTATCTATATAATTTAGATTTGTTTTTAAAAAATGTTTCTCCCTCATTTTTGCCCTTTAGGGTTTTGTTTAGGTTAGGTTGGTTGATAGGAGATGTATGTATATTACAACAAGTCCGAAGAAAGACACCACGACCACTTTCGGGCCTGTTGTGCGCTCCTTTTTATGGAAGAAACATTTTTTTTCAATGTTTCTGGACGTAATTCTTAAGAATTTTCCAATATTCGTGAGGAATTTTATATCCAGAATAATATCACTCTCAAGATATTTGGACCTAACTTAGACGAATGCCTGACAGTGGCAAATAAAGTGTTCTAGAGTTTCACTGTCCTCTCCACATGCCCTACATTCGACGTCCAATTCATCTAACCGCAGACTTGTTCATTTTGAGGAGATTTCTATTCTTGCTCCCATTAGAGTGGGTTTACCATCGTTTCATTATTCCAAGAGGACCTATGGAATTCTCTAACCCATACATATTTGTATGCGTTCGTAAGGGTAACTACCTAGAGTTCTCCCTACCCTTTAATGCTAATACATTCGCCCTGTCGTTGCCAACTACTCCCGAGTGGCCTCATGGTACTCATATGATGTAAACCTAACCTCAATTAAAGCTTTCTTACAATCCGTTAAGGTCTTAGATTTAACTTTATCACCTGATATCGCTCTAATTTCCTTCCGGCTGTCGGAATATATGTTAAACCCTGTGGGCGCCATATTTATTGGAATCCAATTTACACATTCAGTTATTGCTCGGACTTCTGGAAGTATGTGTTGTGATTACGCAAACGGTGGTATATTTCTATTACTGGGTCTTCAATATAGAACTCCAGGTCGACATTGTCCCCCAATTTAGAGCCATCCGTGTAGCAACGGATTCCTACGGGTATTTGCTCTAATTGGTTCAAAGTTTCCGACATACATCTTCTGTGTCTGGTATGCGACCGGACACATCCGATGATTGTGTATAGCCTTTCAATGTGTCCAATATACATTGATGTTGTTATTAGCCGTTCGTCTGTAAGTGCCACCTTATATCTTAAATATGTATGTTCCAATGAGTAGAATATCTAGCAATGTTTCTAGAGTCTTGGTTGACGTAGTAGGGTAGAAGGGGGATCATTCTCCATAGGGGCACATCTGCCAATAGCGAATAACTTGAAAACCGAGTAATCGATTTTATTGCATTACCGAATTTTGTTTTCGTTTATCGATTATCTATCATCCCTGAAAGTTTGAAACATTAACTTTACATATGATGGGAGGCAGACGTGATTAATTTTTTTCAAAAGGCTGTGAAAATATTTCACTTTGGGAATTTTTTGTACTAACTTTTTTAGTTTTTGTGATAGAAAAAAATATATTGGTCTTTGATAGAACGTCAATAATAGTGAACAATAAGATATAATAATATTTCCGATAATATAAACTGCCCGTGGGGCACATTTGCCAAATATATGTAATGCTTGTGATGTAGAACAAAATTTGGTTAAAATATAGAAAAAATCAGTCACAATTTGTTTTAATTTTTTTTGTTAATTTATTTGAAATAAACAATAAATATCTGGTTTATTATACTTTGTTTAATGAATTAAAATATAAAATAGCGAAAAAAGTTTTTATTTTTAATTTTTTTTTGTTTATTTTACTAATGACAAATCTGCTCCATCTCCTTGGCGTATTTACCCCATGAGTGGGGCGGTATCGCCGTTTTTGGTCAGTGCAGAAAATTTAAAAAAATATGTACATTAAGATGATATAGGAAAGATTGAAATGAATAAAACTAAAGCCAATATATCTAAGTATCCGAACCAAGAAAAAAATTAAGAATATGTATTATGGTTTTAATTTGAGAACGCCTTAAAAAAAAGTGGCGTATGGTCCCCCTTCTACCCTACTCATGGCACCACTTATACTCAATCCGTATGCATGCTGAACTCCATGTAGTAGTTTGATATTAAACTTTTTGTCCAAAGAAGTCTACCAGATTATTGAAGCACAAGCTAGAATTGGTCTATTTACACTTTTATAAAGCCAATGTGTCATGGTAGGACTAAGATCCGATTTCATAGTTGTTCTACATATCGTCCAGCACCGATGGGCCTTGGTGATCTTATCTATGGGGTGTCTCCGTTTTAATTTCCGGTCAATGATTACACATAGATACTCTGCCCAGGAAACAGGGTTCACTATACTCAGACATTTGTATCTTTCTTGTGAAAAGACAGATTTTCGTCTTCGCCGGCTTAACATTGAAGTCTTTCCTTGGTTGAGCTCAGCTCAAGGCCGTATTCGGAGCCTCCTCAGCTCTTATACACAAGTAATTTGGATCCTTTCGCCTGCATAGCAGACAGGTCTAACTAAGTCTTTCTCGGTTAGGAGGTATCAATTGTGGTAACCCAGAGTAAAGGGGATAGAGTTTTGTTTAAGTTATTTGATAAGATAGTCCTTCTTAAACGTTATAATACGTCGGGAATTATAAGTTTTGGTTACACACGGACAATCTAAAAAACTTTGCCCTGATATTCTTCCCATTGCGAACCACCACAAACGAATCTACTATAATAATCGCCTACCATTGTTACTAAGTTGCAATTAACTTTAATAACTGGCAAGTGTAGCACCTGTTTTTAGTTTTACACAAATAAAAGTAAATTGTAATACGTATGTCCATTATGTTCCCTGATTCATACTTACTTTCCAATGTAATACCCCCTTTTTTGGAGCTTGTAGCAAATTAAGAAAAACATGATTTTTTTTTGTTTTGAATAGAATTTTATATATGAATTTGATTTATTTAAACATATCACAGGGATAAAAGATTTATAATTAAAATTAATGTTTTGTTATTAAATAATACATGATTTTGTTGTTGTCTTTTTGATTTTTGAAGCAATTAAGGCGCGCGCGTAATTACACGATATAACGATGTTGTAAACTACACTAAATTCTAGAAAATTTTATATAATTAAAGAAATAGAAAATAATAAAAATAAAGATTAAATAATAATGTACTAAATTTTTATAAATTAACAAACAAAAATTATTTTAAATGATTTATAATTATAATTAAAAGCAAGAAATTAAAACTTAAATTTAAGTTTTTTTTTTAATAGACAAATGTAAGTGACTCTGGGAAGGATTACTAAATAAGTAATTAATTAAAAAAAAAAATAAAATAAAAATAATTGTTAATAAAATAATAAAACTAAAAGGTGTTAGGTGTATGTGTGTGTGATAGTGTATGTGTGGGTATGTTGTATGTATGTTTTGGGCAGGTTTTTTTTTAATTTAATAAGTTTTAATGAATTTTACATTTAATGGTTTTTAATTGGTTGATTTTTTTTGTGTTTTTTTAAGGGAGGGGGGTTTAGGTTTGTTATTAATTAATAGAAATTAAATAAAACTATATAAATTAAATTAATTAAGTGTTTTTTTTTTTGTTATAAAAAACACTTTAACTTGTTGTTGTAGTTTTAATGTATTAACTTTTTGATGACATAGAATGTGATTGTTTTTTTCTTCTTCATGTTTTTCGTATAAAATAAAATAAATAATCTTATAAACTAATTTTCATTAATTAACAATTGTTTTTAATTTCCTTGATTTTTGCTGTTAAAGGAATTGTTGACATTTTTGTTGTTTTTAAACAAACGCCTTTTCAAAGTCGTTTTAAATAAAATAATAATGGTGTATACGTTAATTTTTTACAATGACTGTAAAATGAACTCTCTCATTAAAAATACTCTTTTGTTTTGTGATTTCCTCTCGCTCTCGGTCTCTCTCTTTTATTTTAACTGTTTTGCTCTTAAATTGTGTTTATTTTGTTTTCAACGCGGGAAAAGAGTTTCAAAAGTTGTTTGTTTTATATTGTGCCCTTAAAAGTATTGTTAACTTTGAGGCATTTCACGAGCACGCACTGTAATTAAAATTAATTAATAAAAAATTAAGTTAAATTATTTGTCTTCAAATAGCAAGTTTTTGCTTGTTATTACAACTTACTTTCCAGTGCATACACCATGCCAATAATGAGCAATAAAAATATTGTACTCATTGTCATAATCAATACTGTGACTTGTCTGCCACGATCGCATAAACCCTTTTTGGTTTTCTTATTTGCTCCGGCCTCACCATTGACCATAGTAAAATGCATTGAACTTGCTATGGACACCGTGTCTAAATCTTTGGTTTTAATAAAATTCAAATTAGGATCAATATTAATGACAGCATCTGTTTGTGTTTGATCTTGATGTTGATGCTGCTGATGATGATGTAAATGATTATGTTTTCCTCTAGCATCTGTTGCTGGTAGGGCTGCCAATTGATAATCTCTAGAGACTTGAACCAAATTTGCATTATAAGTTGAAGAGGCTGCTGTTGCTACTGTACGTTGTTGTTGTTGCTGCTGTTGTTTTTTATGGATTTCAGCCATACGTTCTAGATTCGCTGCTGTTAAAAGCAAAGAACCAGAAGCGGCGCTCTAAATAGCAAAAAAAACCTATAAGTAATTTGTTTAATTTAACTCTTAAATACCTTATACTCACCCTTGTACTATTGTTACTATCATTGCTACCCTGTGATGATCTGGAACCTCTTTTGGCGGCTGCCAATACAGCGGCTGCAGCAGCAGCTGTTACTGCTGCATTAGTTGTAGCACTCATTTCACTATCACGTCTTCCTCCAACTCCTCCTGCTGCTATAGACGCCACACCACTATGCTGTTGCTGGTGCTGTTGTCTATAGTGTGTGGGCGTTAATTTTTGTTTATTTTGCGAGCGATTACTGCGCTGTGTCGATGATGCTGATGATACAGCCGATGATGCGGAGGATGGTGAGAGTGATGCTCTGGGTATATGCCAGTAATCATTCATCTATAAATTAAGACAAAAAATTCCAATCAGATTTTTTTTTATAATTTTAATTTTTTGGTATGTAAATTAATGTCTTAAATTTAAGTTGTGTCTTTTTTTATTGAGTGTTAAGTGAAAGGAATATTTTTTTGTTTTTGTTTTTGATTTTATTTCTTGTTGTTCTTATTAAGACAAGTTTGAATTAAATAAATTTTATAATAGATTTATATTTGTTATTATATTTGGTTGTTGTTGTTTTTGCTATTTTATATAAGACTTAATTGTCTTGGACAAATTATTAAGAATTAACCCAATAGGAAACGTTTTTATTTGGTTAGAAGTTTTTATATTTTGAACATAAATTTAAATTTTCTGACTATAGAAAATTTTAATTAATTTTGAATTTTCTTAATTTTTCTTAATTTAAACTAATTTTTGATTTTTAAAATACTATTGAACGTTCTAAATTTAAATAAATTTCGAATTTTGGAAATTTAAATTGTTTTTGAATTATTATTTTTTTTTAATTTTTATTTTTTTTTTTTTTTAATTTAATTGTGAATTTTCGAAATTTTTATAAATTTTTTTAAAAAATTTAAATTTTGTAAAATTTTTAATTTGCCATATTTTTAAATTTTGTATCAATTAAAATTTTTTTTTATTTCGAATTTTATAAAAATAAATTAAGAATTTTTGAAATTAAAATTTTTTAGAACAAAACAAAATACTTAAGACACAAACTTTTTTCTGTCGAAAAAATTTTTCTTTATAAAAATTCAATATAAATTGTTGTTGTAATATGTTGTTATAATTGAAAGCAAAAATATGAATTTTTGAAATTAAAATTTTGCCCAGCAAAACAAAAGACTTAAGACACAAACTTTTTTTGAAAAAACTTTTTTTTTGCTGAAGAAATCAATAAATTTAAAGCAAAATTTTGAGGTTTTTTAGTTAAAAATTCTCTATCAAAATTCGATATAAATTGTTGTTGTAATTAGTTGTTATAGTTGAAAGCAAAAAATGAATTTTTGAAATTAAAATTTTGCTGAGCAAAACAAAAGACTTAAGACACGAAAATTTTTTGAAGAATTCTCTTTCTGCTGAAGAAATCAATAGATTTAAAGGAAAATTTGATGTTTTTAGTTAAAAATAAGCTGTTATAATTGAAAGCAAGAAAAAATAATTTTTGAAATTAAAATTTTGCCCAACAAACTTTTTTGCAAAAAACTTTTTTCTACTCAAGAAATCAATAGATTTAAAGTAAAATTTAAAGTTTTTAGTTATAAATTAAATATAAATTGTTATTGTTATAGTTGAAAGCTTTGTAATTTTTTGATTCATTATTAATTAAGACACAAACTTCCGTTAAATTGAAAACTAATTTAAATTTTAATTAATTTGTAATTTAAATTTTATTTAAACACCTTTTATTTTTAAACAACAACAACAACAACTAGTTGTCATCATATATATAATAAATCTTCTGCTTTAAATAACTTCAACGCCCTTTCAAAATGCTACCAAATTGTTAAGTTTAAGTTTATTTGTTTATTTGCTGTGCTCTAATTTTAATTAATGCCTTATTTGTTTTTTTTTAGACTTGTCTAATTTCCTTAAAAGTCTAACAAAACAGTTAAATCAATTTTATGGCAATTTAAAATTTAACAAAATCTTCTGTATTTGGTTTTGTAAATTTAATGTTTTTATTTGTAAATTTTATACATAAATCATTTAGTTTGTTATAGTAGTAGTAATGCTTAGTATTTTTTGGGGGGAATTTTAATATTTAAATAATAAAGTTTTGTAATATATATTTTTTTTTGCTATTTCAACACATCTCTTGAGGCAAATTTTAAATTTAAGTTTGTTTTTAGAATATTTTTTGCTTTTTTTGGTTAATTTTAGAAGTGTTTTAGTTAGAGAAAACTTGTTTTTTTAGTCGTAAATCTTTTTTTGGGGGGATTTTAAAAAGTATTTTTTTTTAGAATTGTTGAGTTCTTTAAAGACTAACACATAAACCTTTCTCTCTTGGTTTTTAAAGTTATTATTTAAATAATTTTGTTATAAATTTAAAATCAATTTTTGAAAATTTATTTTAAATCTAGAAAATTATTATAAAAACTAAAGAAAATTTATAGTTAATTTAATTAGAAAAATATTTGATAAAGTTTAGATTTTTTAACTTTGCTTATCTTCCTAATGAAAAAGTTTGTGTCTTAAGTCTTTTGTTTTTGTATAAATAGAAACAGTTTTTTTTTTAACTTTGTTTTCTATGTCTCCTTAACCTGCTGGTCTACCTAATGAAAAGTTTATGTCTTAAGTCTTTTGTTTTTGAATGTCAACCATTAAATTTCTTATCTTTGCCCATCAGGAGGTGTTTTTTGCTAAATAAATTTTAGCTTAAAATTTGATATGTGTTTATGTGTTAAAATTTAACAAAATGTTTTATCAAGATTTTAGTAAAGATTACACTATTTTAGCATGATTATATCCTATACCACTATAGTGAGGAGGGTATTATGCTTTTGTGCTGATATTTGTAACATCCAAAAATATTGGTCCATCAACCACCAATCAGCTCAAAATCACTTTCTTAGTTGATTTAGCTATGTCCGTTCGTTCGTCTGTCTGTCTGTGTGTCCCAAGCGTACTCTACAGGTAGCAATTTCCAAGATAATTTGATGAATAATTTGGCACATGTTAAATGTTCTTGTATCACTTCAAAAATCGGCAAAACTTAGTTTTATTTACGTTTTAATAATACTGCTGATTTTCGTAATGATCGTGCCTATTTTGAACTTATCCCCCATACAAAGTCTCCAGAAAATAACTTGATGGTCAAAATTCATTTATAAACACTAATATCATGATGATATTCTGTATAAATAACTGATGCAAATCTCTCTACTAATTTATAAGGATAGGACCATATTAACCCCCTGCCCTCATATAACCCTTCAACAAATTGTTAAAATACTTCTCAATTAAGGTAAAAATGAAATTAAATTCTTCATTTGTTACATAATCACTGGTGTGGGGTATCATATGGTCGGTCATGTCCGACTATAAATACTTATTTTTATTTCTGTATAGGGTCTCTATTTAATAGTTTTGAAAAAATGTCTTTTGTCTGTTATAAATGATGAATTTTCGACAACATAAATTTACATTAAACGATAAAATTTTTATAAATTTTTTTACTTTAGAAAAATGTCAATGGAATTTAATTTTTATTTCAAAAAAATGTCTTTTATTACAATTTTATAGTTTCTTTTATTTCATAGACATTGGTACCAATATTGGTTGTTATAACATAATAGTTTTTGGAAAAAATTTTGTCACTTTTTTTTCCGGCAAAAGTTGTATAACATTGTTTTTTTTTAAAGATTTAAAATCAGTTTAAGATAAAATATTTCTTATCTTTTCTAAATCTTTAATTTTTAACTATTATTATTGTAAATTTTTGGCTAAAATTTTGCTATTTATAGTAAATTTTCTATAAAATTTGAAACAACTTTTTTTAAAAATTTCAAAAACAATTCAAATTTAAACTTTTTTTAAAAACTTTTTTTTTTAAATTTTTTTTAAACTTAGTTTCTTATGGTTTTTAAAAGCACTGTTTTCAATTCGTTTTTTTAACACTTAAATTAACAGTTTCTTTTCTTTTTGTTTTCTTTTCGAAAAAAAAAGTCCAAAAATTTACATGTTCATTGATAAAGTTTGTCTCCTAAGTCTTTTGTTTTTATTACACTTTTTTTTGAAACACGAAATAAAACTTTAGGTTAGGTTAGGTTAGGTTGATAGGAGGATGTATACTACATCAAATCCGAAGAAATACACCTAGGCCACTATCGGGCCTGTTGTGCGCTCCAATAAAAAAAAATAAAACTTTAACTTTTACATTTCTTTCTTAGTTTTCATTCATTATTTAAATTTAGTTTTAATGTGTCTGGAGTTTATAGTTTTGCAATAAACATTATTTATTTTTATAACTTTTAATAGAATTTTAATTAGTTTTTTTTTTTGTATTAAAAACGTTTTGGCAATTTTAATTTTTGTTTAAATAAATTTATTATAAATTTGGTTATAAAACATAGCTTTTAAATTAATTTTTATTCACCAACTGTTTGTATGTGTTTTTGGTTTGTTCGGCGGAAGTTTGTGTCTTAAGTCTTTTGTTTAATATGTTTGAAATTCAACTGTTTTCCCAATTGAGGTTTAATTCTTAATAATTTGCACAAAAATTTTTTATATTGTTAATGTAATTTGTTTAATCTTAAAAATTTTATGACAATTTCATTTAAGGCGGAAGTTTAAGGAAGTGTGTTTTTGTTGTTATTTCATTGTTTTATTGTAAATTAATTTCACTTGTTAATTTTTTTTTGTTAAATTTTTTGTTTTACTTACTTTGTGGTTTGTTTTTTTCGTTGTTGTTGTTAAATTTATAAATAAATAAAATGTTAAAATATCACAATTGTTTTGTTTTTTTGCTTGTTCAAATTAAAATGTTAATAATTGTTTTGCATTTGTTGTTAAGTTAGTTAGAAAGAGTTGCTTTTGATTTGGCAAATTATCGTATCCTTTTTTCTTTAGTTTTAGTTAACTAGAAATTTTTGTTCAAGATTCGTTTTATTTTAAATAATTTTCTTTTGCTATAAAACAACAACACTTAATTACTTTTTTTTTAAGAAAATTTTTTATTGTTAATAATTAACTTTAAAAAGATTTAAGTTGTTCTTTGCTTTTTTTAACATTAAAGAAAAAAATACTTTATTTCGTTCGTTGATTTTTTGTCTGATTATTTTCAAACAACAACCGTATCTAGAACCGATCTATCCAACATCAAGAATCAAACTGAAATCTCTAAATAACAAATGTTTGCTCATTTGTTTAAGTTAAAAGCGAAATAACAAAAAATCTCTATCTAGCTGCCTAACTTCTTGTCATTGTATATAGTAGTTGTTTAAAGGTGTTAGTGTATGTGTGAAATTTTAGCAAAAAATAAAAATAAAAAAAAACCAAAAAGGTTGGCTGTTGTTTGACGTATCACTCTGGTAACTGGCGTTGGATGGTAGCTGCTGGTGCTTGGTGCCTTAGCGGGCTGCTTGTTGCTGTTTGTTTGCCTTTATGTTATATGGTTGTTGTTATTGCTGCTGTTGGCGCTGCTGTCGTTGTTGTATGAACTTGTTGTCAACAGGTTGTTAATGTTGGTGTGATATTTGTTGTTGTTGACTTTAGTTTGCCGGATTTTGGTTCCTACCACACACACACACACACACACTCACTCACTCTTATATTATTCAAATAAATAATTCTATTTTTTTTGGTTTTTTTTTTTTGCAAAGCGTGTGTGTATGTTTGATTTCATTCTTTTATTTTTTTTCGCTTATAAATTATTTCCAATATTTTTCAAACTTATTATTAGTGGAATGAGTTTGAATGTTTTGCTTCTTGATATAATTGTTTATGATGTGTTAAGTAACGCACGCCATGCACGATTTTTCGTTCAACTTTTTTAATATGCGTGCTGTTTTTTATTAATTATTATTTTTTTTGTAGATTTTTTTTTTCTGAATATTAATTTTAAATTCGTTTTTTACGGATTCCCTATCAAATAATCGTGCAGTTCTGTGTTTTTATTTTGAAATATATTTTTTTTCAAGATTTTTTCTTAAATTGACAATTTAGTTTTTTGTTGTTGTCGTTTTTTTCTTTATACGTTTGTTTTTGTTCTTTTTTTTCTATTTATATTTTCTTTAAATATTTATTTATTGTTTTATTTGTGTGTTAAAACCGTTTAATTTATTTTTGTTGGTATTTATTCTATAAATATTTATTTTCTTGTTGTTTTTTTAAGTTAATGTTTTGAAATTGTCGTAAGTCAATAAACTTACACATATTTAAGCCCCAAAAATCTTGTAGTTTTGTTTTAGCTATGGGCAAATAAACAGCACCATTGCATTTATTATACATTTAAATGTAACTGCACACACCCCTTTTTTCAATGAATTTAGGTCAAATGGAAAAATTTGCAAAAAAAGAGGTTTTTTATTAAGAATGTCAAAAATTTCCTACTGAAAACATGTTGTTTTTTTATATAAAAATAATAATTTTCGCAAGCGCTGATCTTTTTATATTTAAAAACTAGATTTTTGTGCAATTTTAATGTTTAAATATAAAATTTTTTAACACAGAATAGTCTAGTCTATAGTCTAGTCTATAGTCTAGTCTATAGTCTAGTCTATAGTCTAGTCTATAGTCTAGTCTATAGTCTAGTCTATAGTCTAGTCTATAGTCTAGTCTATAGTCTAGTCTATAGTCTAGTCTATAGTCTAGTCTATAGTCTAGTCTATAGTCTCGTCTATAGTCTAGTCTATAGTCTAGTCTATAGTCTAGTCTATAGTCTAGTAGTCTATAGTCTAGTCTATAGTCTAGTCTATAGTCTAGTCTATAGTCTAGTCTATAGTCTAGTCTATAGTCTAGTCTATAGTCTAGTCTATAGTCTAGTCTATAGTCTAGTCTATAGTCTAGTCTATAGTCTAGTCTATAGTCTAGTCTATAGTCTAGTCTATAGTCTAGTCTATAGTCTAGTCTATAGTCTAGTCTATAGTCTAGTCTATAGTCTAGTCTATAGTCTAGTCTATAGTCTAGTCTATAGTCTAGTCTATAGTCTAGTCTAGTCTAGTCTAGTCTATAGTCTAGTCTATAGTCTAGTCTATAGTCTAGTCTATAGTCTAGTCTATAGTCTAGTCTATAGTCTAGTCTATAGTCTAGTCTATAGTCTAGTCTAGTCTATAGTCTAGTCTATAGTCTAGTCTATAGTCTAGTCTATAGTCTAGTCTATAGTCTAGTCTATAGTCTAGTCTATAGTCTAGTCTATAGTCTAGTCTATAGTCTAGTCTATAGTCTAGTCTATAGTCTAGTCTATAGTCTAGTCTATAGTCTAGTCTATAGTCTAGTCTATAGTCTAGTCTATAGTCTAGTCTATAGTCTAGTCTATAGTCTAGTCTATAGTCTAGTCTATAGTCTAGTCTATAGTCTAGTCTATAGTCTAGTCTAGTCTAGTCTATAGTCTAGTCTATAGTCTAGTCTATAGTCTAGTCTATAGTCTAGTCTATAGTCTAGTCTATAGTCTAGTCTAGTCTAGTCTATAGTCTAGTCTATAGTCTAGTCTATAGTCTAGTCTATAGTCTAGTCTATAGTCTAGTCTATAGTCTAGTCTATAGTCTAGTCTATAGTCTAGTCTATAGTCTAGTCTATAGTCTAGTCTATAGTCTAGTCTATAGTCTAGTCTATATAGTCTAGTCTATAGTCTAGTCTATAGTCTAGTCTATAGTCTAGTCTATAGTCTAGTCTATAGTCTAGTCTATAGTCTAGTCTATAGTCTAGTCTATAGTCTAGTCTATAGTCTAGTCTATAGTCTAGTCTATAGTCTAGTCTATAGTCTAGTCTATAGTCTAGTCTATAGTCTAGTCTATAGTCTAGTCTATAGTCTAGTCTATAGTCTAGTCTATAGTAGTCTATAGTCTAGTCTATAGTCTAGTCTATAGTCTAGTCTATAGTCTAGTCTATAGTCTAGTCTATAGTCTAGTCTATAGTCTAGTCTATAGTCTAGTCTATAGTCTAGTCTATAGTCTAGTCTATAGTCTAGTCTATAGTCTAGTCTATAGTCTAGTCTATAGTCTAGTCTATAGTCTAGTCTATAGTCTAGTCTATAGTCTAGTCTATAGTCTAGTCTATAGTCTAGTCTATAGTCTAGTCTATAGTCTAGTCTATAGTCTAGTCTATAGTCTAGTCTATAGTCTAGTCTATAGTCTAGCCCATATTCTAGTCTATAGTCTAGTCTATTGTCTAGTATATATTCTAGTTTATAGCTTAGTCTATAAACTAGACTATAGACTACTCAATAGACTAGACTGTAGACTAGACTAGATTATAGACTAGCTCTCTAAGAATCAGGTGCTTTGAAACATTTTCGTAATCATAGTTAGTTAGTTAGTAAGTTAGTTTGAAAGGAGGATGTAAATACATCAAATCTGAAGAAATACACCCACATCTCTATCGGGCCTGTTGTGCGCTCCTTAACAAGTGCCTTAGATAGAAATCGAACCCACCACCTCCGGTCTACCAGACTAGAACACTAACTACTAACCTACCGGAGGCCATGCTCATCATAACTGTCTACATGTTGTAAAATAACTTTTCTTTAAAGCTCAAACTGTTAGACTGTAAGAGTAGGTCGCGGAAGAAACACGATCGAATTGATCATGACAAAGTCCTATAAAAGTTGATTATCAGGTCAACTCAATACTACCCACCTATCCAAACTTTGATTGGGCCAACAGGATTGAAATATCAGCAATGAATTCACCCATATCGCTAATTAAAGTGAGAGAAGAGGAATTAGTATTTGTATGTGTGAATTAAGTGTCAATGTTATGAAATAAATGGGGGAGAAAAGTGAGAAATTTGTTTGTTAATGTTTGACTTAAATTGACGAATATTATATTCTACTGGGAATAATGTTCCACAAACGTATGGTTCGTCCAAAATATGAAATTTCCCTATAATGGGAAGCGCGTTCAGTGCTCCAGTGTGGATGAGATCTACGTGGAAGTCTTGTGTCGCGACTAAAAATACGCGGTCTAGAGATAAGTTCTGCTATCTCTCATGAACAGTGCCCATCATTTCGTTCCAGAGAACATGTCTTACAGGGCCAAAGAGATCCTACGTGGTGGTAATGGTTTCACAATGAAATTTATATTTCGGGATAATATTTCTGTGCCATTGCCGACTAAACCCCACAAAGAAGTGACTGCGGCAACTATATGTTGGCAATAAGTTGATGTTACAAGTATGCAGAAAGATACAGATCGCGTTCCACCCACATATCCTTATGAATGTTCAGATGAAAGGTCAGTGTAAGGCTTCAGATAGGGTCTGAATATTGCCGGACATTATACAACGGTTCTCAATTGTAAGAGATAAATAGTTCAAGTATTTGAGCAAATTGTTTGTTCATGGAACGGTTTCAGCTATGTCTCAAAATTGCCATCTGCGTGTTCTTTGCAAGTTACAAAAGTGGCGTTGGTGAGTCTTCGTTATCTCACCATGTGATTGTAATAGACCACCGTGAGTTTATATCTAAAAAGAATATAGGGACATTCCTGTATCTATCAATGCTCTCAATAAGCTCAAAATGCATCCCATTTTATTCACAAACTGTTCCAACACAGATAACATTTTATCTAGTTGATGTGAATCAATCAGCATGTTACCTTATTGAGACACCCTCACATTGTTGTTATTGCAATCCCGGGGAAAAAAGGTGCCACTTAGTGGTGGAAACCCAAATCGCGGAAAGATAATGTTGGTTAAAAGAAAACGTATAGTTAGAGATGAGATTCCAATTCCGTTACCGATAGTTAATCTCTAACGCACACTTTGGGTAAAAAGACCTTCGTGAGTGGAGATCTTCTTAACAGGACTTAATATGTTTTTGCTTCAGTGTGTCTGATTCTTTGAGGCATAGAACTGACTTAGTAGAAATACATTTTATTTATATATTAATAACAGATATGCCTAAATTGTCTTCAGGCTGGCCAGAGATGTAAACAGGAACAATATTGTTTTAGGACAAAGTTTCGGCTTAAAAAAAGTACCTTTTTAAATTTGGAGTTTCTTGTTTTTTCATAAAAAATTTGTATTTATTCTAAAACAACATAATGTTCCTATAAAACTCAACAATACATGTCAAAAACTTTAAGAATATTAAAAATGCTCATATCATTGTTTGATTTATTTTTCAATATTTAACAATAGCTGCTGCAATGATTTGTATTTTTGTTGTTGTTAT